AAAAATTGATAAAACAATAACCGATCAAGAACATCATCATATGAATGGTTAAAAAATTTAAAAAAATTTTTAGCTTTCAACTGCTTGTCAGATGAAAACCTGAGGAAAACAAAACATAAAAATCAATTGATTTATCATCACCTTTCGTCTGTTAAATGTGGCTGTCGAATTTCTTTCGAATGATTTTTTCGCAACAAATCACCATCATCATTATCTTTGATTAATTTGGTGAAGAAATTTCAGAAAAAACAGTAAATGTAAAATTCTTCATAGTTGAAAGTGTTACATTCTATGGAAAATGATGTACATTTTTTGAAGAGAATTATGTAATTCAATACATTCTATTCGGGTAGCCATAAGAGATAGTCAAAAATGTCCATATAGGATCATATTTCCAGAAAAAACAGAAAAGACAAAAATCTTGATATTGTCGTCATAGTGATTATTTGTGATTGTAGCAGATTTTCTGAAAATCTCTTTTCTTCGTTTGATTATCGGATCAAACATTTTTCTTCAGACAATCTATCTAGTCGGATTCATTCGTCATCGTCGTTGTTTGAAAAATTCAAGCGTAAAATGAGGAAAAAATTTTGGCAAAAATTCAAAACAAAAAGAGCTGGTTGCAACATCACTGTTTGTCATCAGTATTTGGCAATTGGTAGTGATGATGATCATTACACATATACAAATCATTAACAACATTAGTCTATAATCATTTTCGGTTGTTGACAAAACAAAACAAAAAAAAATTGTTTGTGTTCCAAATTGACTAGAGCAAGAGAGAGAGAGAGAGAACGAAGAATAATTCTTGAAGCTATCAATTTTATAATTAGTTTTATCAGTCAAACTAAATTCAATTCAACTTACTCTTTTTTCATCATCAACGACAACATTCGAGCACAATTCTAGTAAAGCCATTAGACATATGGTATATTGGCTCCGAGACGACGACGACAACCAACAACGTCGATGACAACCAACAAAGATTCAATTAGCTGATTGAATAGACCTAACTATAGACAAGAGAGAGAGAAACGGGCACCACATGAATCGCGTATTGAAGAAAAAAAACGAATTTGTTGTTTTGGAAAAAAAATAAAAATAAAAACACAAGCCAAACACACACACTTCACTTCAATACAATACAATATGTTTCACGTATAGAATATTGATTACCTTCAATTGATTTGTTCATTCGATTATATAATCTAGTTTGTTTTTTTTGAGGAGGAGAAAATGAAATAAAAAATAAAAATAAATAAATTCAATTCACATTTTCAATTGAATTTTTATTTTTTTTATATACTTTACTTTGTCGTTTGTCATTCGTTCTTGTTTGGGTGACAAATAATTTTTTCGGGTTTCGGTTATTCAATCTTCAATCATCATCATTGCAAACAGATTGATCAAAATGGACTGGTCACGTTCGAAAATTCGAACATTTTTTTTCTCTGGAACCAGGAAAAAAACGTTCGAATTGACTATTTTCACTCAATGATACTGATGCTATCGATATATGTTCTGTCGGGATATTTCCACCCACACACACCCACACACAGACAAAAACATTCGAATTTTCGAATGTTTTTGTCCAAAAAATCGAAAAAATGAAATTTTTGAAATTTTTTGAAAAAAATCAAAACTTTTTTTTTGTCAAATATTCAATAACATTCATTAAAGTATTGTGTTTGTGTGTGTAACCATCGATAATGTAATTTATTTGCAAAGAAAAAAAAACTAATCATCATCGATCGATTGATCTCCACACAATCGATTTTTTATTTATTTATTCTATTTTAGATAATGATGATGATAGTCATTGGAAAATTGCATCTTATTTTTCAAAAAAATTATTCATCATCAAATGATGATGATTTGATAATTTAAATTTAAATTTAAAAATTTGAATCACATCACAGCAACAACTACAAAGAGTGTCGATAATCATCATAAATATCGGACATTGGTCATCATCATCATCGAATGAATGAATAAAAGAATCATCACTATCATCATCATTGTTATGTAAGGTTAAAGATTTTTTTTGTTGTTGAAAAAATGGCAACCAAAATAAACGATTTTCATTCATTCAATGATCATCATGATCATCATCATCGAAAGAATCTTCAAAACCGAAAAAAAATCTATTCATACAACGATGATGATGATCATCATCATTACCCAAAACATACATTTAGATATTCGCAGAAATGAAAAATCAAACTCATTAATGTTCGGGCGGATACCTGTTTTATTTTCATAGCTATCCATCCATCCATCCATCCATTTAGTCAATCATTTAACAACAACAACAACAAAAAAAAATTCTTCGTTTTTTTGTTGTTGCAAAATTTAAATGATAATGGTGATGGTGGTTATGAAATTTTTTTTCTTCTTTTCGAATAATAAAAAGTATCGATTATTTTTTTTTTGTTGCAAGAATCGATTGTTTGCTGATGTGGTGGTCAGGAATTCGAATGTGTTTCTATTCGAATAATAATGATGTTCGAAAAACGAACGACAAACGAAAAAAAGGTCAAATGTCAAAATACTCCAAGGGAATGGTGAGTAGATTTTATCAAAATCAAATAAATCATATAAATAATACCGACAAATCAAAAAAGTTTGAATGGGATGTGAATGTTTTTTGTTTTTTCTACGAAAAACAAATCAAAATATGATTTTTTTGATGTTTCTTTTCAGTTTTTGTTGTTGTTGTTTTTATTCAATTTGATAATAAGTGTTAATTGCGTAATTAATTAGAAGTTTTTTCTCTTTTATCGTTTATCGTTTATCTAGGCTTAATTATGGTCACGATTTCGTTCGAAAAAGAAAAAACATCGAAAAATATGAATCAAAAATGCAATGAAATGAATCAAGAAAAAAAAAGGTTTGCCCATGTTACCAATTAATGAAAAAAATTGTTTCAAGGTAACAAAATGATTATTATTTAATAATCACAGAAAATAAATGAAAAAAGTCAAAGACATGATAATAATAAAAATGGCCACTCCTTTGTTTATGAAATGTAATGAATGAAAAATATTACATTTTTCATAAACTATTTCCACCTTAATGGCAGCCTCATTCGATCAACCAGAAAAAAAATGTAATTTTTTGTGGCTATTTTGAAGAATTTTATCAATGAAAAAAACGCCAAATTTGTTTTTTTGGTGAAATTTTCTTTGGTTCAAAAAAAATATTTCACTAGAAAAATAAATTGTTGAAATTCATCATTTTGACAACAACAACAAAATTCATACGCGTGCCACACATCATTCCATCCATTCTCGAATCATTCGACAATGTTGTTGACAATAATGATGAATTTTCTGGTTAAAAAACAACAACTCATCAATGAAATCATTGAACCAGGTGACGATAGACTTCGATTTTTGAAAAAAAAAACATTAAAATATCAACAAAAAAAAAAGAATCAAACAAACTCATCATCATCATCATGATGTTTGCATGGTCGGCAGCTTTTTTTCCACCACCACCAGCAAACAAAACGAGAAATAGAAAATCTCTCTCTCTGCTTCCTTCCCCCCATCAAATCATTTCTCAATGATAAAAACACCATTCATCATTATTATCAACTTTATTCTTTGCAGGAGTGATGGTAATAGAGTTGTAGTAATGGTGGGGGTGGAAATAATACACTTGAATAAAAATTCAAAAAAAAAGAAAAGATTTGCTTGAGTGCTCATCATCATCATCATTCGTGAATAATGTTATTGAAGAGAGAGAAAACAAGCCAGGAAAAGAAATGAAATGAATTTCTCTCTATTTTTTTGGTTCTTTGTGTGCAAACTAAATATATCAAGGTAAACATCCTTCATATTTTACAATTTGCACACACACACACACACACACGCCATTCGTATGGCCAAATTCAAGTTATTTTTATTATTTGATTTGAATGTCATTTCTCTCTGTGTGATAGTCTTGGCATTAATATACCAGCGGTATTTTCTATTAAAAAAAAGAAAAAGAAAAAGAAGCTAAACATTATGAAAAAGTTATGTTGACAATTTTTTTGATTTTGGTTTTCTTACAACAAAATTTTTCACAAAAAAAATGATGATAGTGGGTTAAAATAGTCATCATCAACATCCTCATCCGAAAAAAAAACCAAATATATCCATTCAAGAATCCAGAATCTAGATTGACACAATTTGAAAATGTAACAAAACAAAACAGCAAAATGTATCCAAAATAAAAAAAACATTAATTGAATATACACATTACACACAGCAACACATTTTGAACCATATTATCAACACAAAATTTTTTTTTTGTTTCCAGTAGTCAATTCTATTAGTTTATTTACATAATTCATCCATCCATCCACTCAATGTTTACAAACAAACAAAAAAACACTCAAACATGTCATTGATGATAATGATAACCATGTTTATCAATTTTTTTCTTGTTGCTGTCGCCCAAAGCAAATAAGGTGCGTGTGTGGAAATTGGAAAGTTAGTTTTTTTTTGACAACATCCGAAACAAACAACAAACATTTGCAAAAAAACTCTATATAGAAAAAGTAAATAAAAATGATGATGATAGCAATGTTAGTTAGTTAGTTAGATCATCATATTGTAGATCATCAAAAGATGATAATGACATGTCGATTCCCTAAAGTGATATTTTTTTTTTGTTTACAATCGATAGTGATGGACGATATATCAACCTATCTTCCTCTATATACACATATAAGGTGTGTGTGTGTGTTTGTGTTTATCTAGTCGAATTTTTATATTCATTTATAATCAAGGGTGTTAGATGTCAACAATATCGGATGATGTTTGATGTTTGTTTGCTTTCATTTGAAAAACAAATTCTACCGACCGAACAGAAGAAGAAAAAAAAATTCAATTAGAAAAACCATAGAACGGTAGAACGATTATAACGGAACAGGAGAGGAAAAAATTGAAACAAATCCGAAAACAATTCTCGGGCAGAAAAAAAACCGGTTAAAAACAAAACAAAACAACATCAACAACCAAGAGGTTATGATTAAATTTAAATTTCACATGAATTTAAAATTTTAAAATCAAAAAATCTCACACATCATCATCATCGGATTGATGTTTGGTGGTGTGAGAATCAATCAAATTTTTCTTCTTCTTATTCAACTTTGATCAGAATCGATACCATCATCATCATCATCATGATTTTTGATAGGATCGATAATCGAAATCATGATTATGATCATCATCATAAGCAAGAGTCGTGTGTTTCACCACAATAATAATCAATCAGGACAAAAAAAAAATCTTCCAAGAAGAAGAAAATCTTTCCAGTCAGCCAAGGAAAGAAAGAAAATATACCCATGTTTTGATTGAATTGTGTGTAGTAAAAACACACGACAAAATTATTATTTTTTCTTCAATTTTTTTTAAATAAATTAAAAAATTTGCATCACAATAAAATTACATGTTGTTTTTCCATCAGAAGATATATTCGTGTGGCCAAAAATCGAAAAATCGAAGGAAAAAAATGATGAAAAAATTCATCCAACCATCAATCTCTCCTCTAACCAGAAATCTCTATGGACGACGACGACGGTACGAATTTTTCCAAAACCACCTTCTCTATCAAAATCCATCTTTCAAACCGATGTCGATGATGATGATGATAATGATAGTAATCATTTTTTTTTCTCTAAATAGTTTTTTATTATTATTTTGATTTTTGATTTTGATTTTCGCTCCAACCATAATAAAATAAAATTCATATTCATCCACAATACACCTGACATTTTTTTTTCGGGCTTTCCATCTTCATATACCGATCATCATCGAGATCGGCAGTTTTTGCCCAGAAAAATGAAAATCAAAATTTTTGATCGACCACGATGATGATGAAATCATCTATGATCATCATCATCTAAGGGATAAACCCTGAATCCGAAGAAAAAAGCCAAACAATAATCATCATCATCATTGCATTTGCCATTGTCCAGTAGAGCAAAACATTATTACACTGGACATGGAATTCATTTCATTTCATTCGGTCGATCGGTCGGTTTGTTCGTGTGTTTCGGGCACATTGATTGTGAAATGAAAATATTTTCATTTCGTTACGAAAAAGCCAAACCACCACAGCCAAATATATCATAATCATATGATGGCGATGAACAACAACAATCATTTCTTTAATCTTTTTTTTCTGTGCAGCCAAATATAAAAAAAAATTGGGCAAAATCATAATTAGAATCGTTCTTGATTTCAATTTCGTTTCGTTTTTTGTTGTTACATCTTGATTATCTTTTTGTTGATGAAATTATCTTACCTGAACACAGAGAGAAAGCTAAGATTGGATGAGATTTTCCTGTTCATTTTTTTCTTGATTATATCGTTCATAAACGAATGATGACGGATGAGTTTTT